ACTTTAGCTCTTACAGGACGCACCTGACCCTGACCAACGACTTTTCCCAAATAAGTCACAGTACCTTGGGCAAACTCACATTTTGCCAGGTTAATGGTTCGGTTGGCCCAAGCCAACCGCTCAAACAAAGCACAGATCTGATCAACATGCTCTGCCCAGGTTCCACTGTAGATGACAACATCGTATAAGTATACTGCACACCCCTTAAACCCTGCTACCACTTGGTTCATTAGCTGCTGAAAGGTGGCAGGGGCATTTCTCAAGCCAAACGGCATGACCGTGTAGGAGTAAAGGCCTGAGGGTGTTGTGAATGCAGCAATTTCTCAAGTATGTCCATGTAGATTCTCATTCATCCAGGTCATGGTTATCTTGAAGACTTAAGACAGGCAACTGGACTGTGTAGAGTACATAGTCCACAGTCCTACACAGTCCAGTTGCCTGTCTTAAGTCTTCAAGATAGCAATTTCTCAAGCTCGTTTTGACAGGGGCACTTGCCAATATCCCTTCAAGAGATCAAATTTGCTGACATATTATGCAGCATCCACCTGATCAACACAATCCTCCATGCAAGGAAGTGGATAAGAGTCTGGTTTTGTGATGTTATTTACTTTGCGAAAATCAGTGCAGGGTCTGAAAGTTTTATTAGGTTTACTGACCAGCACACAGGGGGTAGCCCAACTAGAGCTAAATGGCTCAGCAATCTTATGCTCTAACATATATTTCACCTCGGCCTCCAGCTGAGATTGTTTCTCCTAAGGGGACCTGTAAAACTTCTGTCAGATCAGTGTAGCATCACCCACCTCAATATCATGCTCTATTAGGTGGGTCCTCAAGGGAGTGTCTGAAAACAAAACAGGAAATGACAAAATGAGATCAGACAGCTTTGTCCCCTGTGCTGCTGGCAAATCCTCGACAGCTCACTATCTTTCCACTCTCACATCAGTAACATCACCCGGTCTGCATCCTGGTCCACAGCCTTCTTACCTCCCGCATAGACTACTTCAACTCACTCTTCCTCGGTGCTCCTCACAAATCCCTCCATAAACTTCAACTTGTCCAAAACTCTGCAGCCCGCATCATCACCAGAACCCCCTCCTTTCACCACATCACCCCTGTCCTTCAACAGCTTCACTGACTTCCTGTCAGGTCCAGAATCAACTACAAAATCCTTCTGTACACTTTCAAGGCCATCCATAACCTTGCGCCCCCTTACCTCTCCGATCTCCACATCGCCACCCCCTCACGATCCCTCAGATCCTCCTTCTCCCTCCACCTCTCTGTGCCCTCTGCCCGGCTCAGCACCATGGGGAGCAGGGCTTTCAGTCACTCTGCCCCCAAACTCTGGAATTCTCTCCCCCCGGACCTCAGAAACATGGACTCACTACCCCACTTTATATCCAAACTCAAAACACACCTATTTCAAATTGCATATTCACTTTAACTGTCCACTTTCACACTTGTATGTTGTTTTTATTTATTTTATTTATGTTTCTAACTGTGTTCAGAAAGGCGCTTTTAAATAAAATGTATTATTATTATTAAATGTCCCAACAATCTATCCAAATTTCTCAGGGACTCTGAATTTTTAAGCCTGCCCTGCAACACACCAACATCTGGACTTTCAATCTTCTCCTCTCCACCATCCAAAGATGAAGAGATCACACACCCCCACTGAAGACACCAAAGCCAGCGGCTTTTAATTCGTGGAAAATAGGGTTTCAACCATAGACTGTATATAAGATAGACAACCTGGTTCCGCCTTCCACCTGTATACGGATTTGAAGCCAAAAATCTCTCTGTAATTCCAGGTTTTTCTCCACTTCCTTGAAACCAGAGCTGCGCAGTAGCGATGCGCGCATTCGGCCGCTCGGCTCAAACAGCATATCCCCCCGGGAGAGCTACGCAATCCCTGAACGCCCATAGGCTGTACCAGGTGTCAATCATAGAAAACATGAACCCCCAAATAACTTTTAAAAACGGAGTTGTACAGAAAAAAAAGGACTTGGGCACAAACCAGCCTTACAATAGCTACATGTCAACATCACAAGCAGGGGGGAGAAACATTCATGTTCTGTGTAATAAATTTCTAAAGTTTGTCCACAGTCCCATAAGCTTTGCTGGCGGAGGCGGGATTTATGACCTGTACTGCAGCCCACCATCAGAGGGTGCTGTTCTCGGAGTGGCTTCACCCAGCGAGGAGGCAGACTCTGTCCATCTTATATACAGTTTATGGTTTCAACATATTAACATGACACAACTGTGTAGTCTTCTGTCTGTCATGAGTGGAAATCAGGTAATTCAAATCTGTTACCCATCGAACAACAGAATAAGACCCCCCAAACCTAGCCTGAAAAGGAGAACCTACCACTGGGAAGTTGGCCAGAACCCAATCCCCAGGGCAAAACACATGTACTGCAGCCCAGTGATCATACAGTCGCTTTATCTTACCTTGAGCCTTTTCTAAATTTAGTTTTGCCATCTTTACCGACTCATACAATTGTCTTTTGAACCCATTCACGTAATCTGTTAACTCTTCCGGAGGACGAGGCTTCCTCCAATCAGACTGTAACACAGCCAATGGACCATGAACTGCATGACCAAACACAAGGTCATTTGGACTAAATCCAGTGCCCTCTTGTGTGACCTCACAAGCCACCAACATTAGCCACGGCAGTCCTTCCTCCCAATCACGACCCAATTCAGTACAATATGAGCGCAGAAGTGACTTGAGAGTTTGGTGAAAGAGTTCAATGGCACCCTGACTCTCTGGATGATAAGCAGTTGACTGGATGTGCTTAATCTGAGGCTTTCCCTGCGCATCTGTAAATATCCCTGATGTAAAATTGGTTCCTTGATCACTTTGAACAACCTTGGGAATACCGAAAACAGACATGAATTGTGTCAAAGCCTTCAACACTGACTTAGTTGTTATGTTACACAGGGGAAAAGCAGCAGGATAACGAGTCGTTTGACACAGTACTGTAAAAAGATACAAACTACCGGACCTAGACTTAGGTAGTGGGCCAACACAATCAATCAGCAGATGTTCAATTGGTTGATTTGCAACTGTTATAGGATGCAAAGGAGCTGGCTTAATGCACTGGTTTGGTTTACCCGTGAGCTGACAAGTATGACATGTTCTGATATTGGCAAAGATGTCTTTTTTTCATTCGCGGCCAATAAAAATACCGCAAAACTTTGTCATAGGTCTTCTTAACTCCTACATGTCCTGCACCCATATCATGAGCTGTTTTCAATATTCCAACCCTAAGTCCAGACGGAACCACAACCTGGTAAATGGCATCACCAACAAACTTTCCCCCCTGAGGCAGCCATTTCCTCACCAACAGCTCATCTTCCAAGAAATACCCATGTGCCACACTCTCCATCTCTTCCACTGGATGCACCTGCTGGAACAGCTTGGTCAGATCAGGATCCTTCTGTTGTTCCTGCACCAGCTCAGCTTTTGAGACAGAGACTGGAATGACAGGTAAAGGAAATTTGACATGTAGACCATTCTTTTCTTTAACCAACAGGTCTTTTTTTTCTGTGACCTTGTGACCACACACACAGGAAAAATGTGTTTGCAGTCATCACACTCAACCTCCACCTGGCCAACAGCTGGAGAAGAGGTCACAAGTGGCGAGGGAGGACACTCAGGAAATGGACCATCTATCAGATCATTCCCCAAAATCACCTGTACTCCCTGGGCTGGAAGAGCCGGCTGCACTGCCAAAGACATCTCCCCTTTAACCAGATCAGCAGAGAAGAGAGAGAGGCACTGGAAAATATCCAACCCCATACCTCTCACCAGCACAGAGTCTCCAGTGGCAGTGTCTGCTGAAAATGGCAATACAGAGGCTACAATGAAAGATTCCAGAGCACCAGAATCTCTCAGGATTTTGACTGGAACTTTTTCCTTACTCCCTACCAACAAAACAACCCCCTCACTCACATATTTCTGATAACAAGGATCAACATCTTCAGCCTTGTCAGTGTTGTGTATTTGCTCCGAGGTGTACAGAAAAATTCTCAGGGGGACACAATGGTTCCTCAAATGAGAGGCGGGAAACCAGTGCAACAAGCTTAGTGTGCTGCTGTACCGCAGCAATGGCCTCAGTGCTCTCATGCAGCATGTTCACCATCCCTCGCACAGGAGCAACTAAGGCTGCAGGTTTAACAGGGCGAAAACCTGAGTTGGACTTGTGCTTGGACCTTAAAACAGGACAATCAGCCTTCCAGTGACCTTTACCCAAACAATAATTGCAAGTTGTACTGGAATCCCATTTGCCAACATTGCTAGCTGCCTTGAAAACAACAGAGTCACTCCCTGAACTCCTGGGATAACCACTAGCTCCACCCCTATGTCCAATTTCCCCCTGGACCTTATGGGTCAGAGCATATTCATCAGCTAAAACAGCAGCCTCAGCTAATGTCTCAACACTCCTCTCACTCAGATAAATGGTCAGGTTCTCAGGGAGGGTTTCTCTGAACTGTTCCACCAAAACCAGTTCAAACAGTTGTTCAAAGGTCTGAACCTTAGAGGCCAGCCACCAGTGGCCAAAAAGAGTGGACAGTTCACAGGCAAATTCAACGTGTGTTTCTTGGTCCTGCCTCTGGATGCCCCTGAACTTCTGTCGATATGCCTCCGGCACCAGTTCATAAGCCTTTAACACAGCCTGTTTAACTGTCAGATAGTCTTCACTGTCTGATAATGACAAAGCAGAATAGGCTTCCTGAGCCTTCCCCGTTAACATACACTGAAGCAGTAAGGTCTGCTCTAAATAATTCCTGTTTCTGAGTAAAAAAAAGTGTCAGGGTCCTGTTCTGAGAATTTTGGCACCAACTGTAAACATGTAGCCACATCAAAATATGAAGACCTACCAACTCCAAGGACCCCTATATCACCTGATGCTGGATTAACCATCTTCCCCTCCTTTAACAAATCTAGTTTGTAACGTTCAAACTGTTGCTGTTCCCTCTGCTGAAGTTATTCAACCTCACGTAAAACTGGCAGTGTATCTCAGTTTTTCCAGTTCAACAGCATGCAGAGCCTGGTCCCTCTCCTGTGCCTTATTACGCTCCATTTCCAACTTATGCTGCAGGGTCAACAACTCTTTTTGCTGATCAAAAGTCAAAGACACACCCACCCCAGCCACAGGCCGCACAAGTTTCAAAGGCTGCTCTGGGGGACTAACCTGAGGAAAAACTGCAGGTAAAACAGGAGTTGGTGCACTTACAGCATCACTGCCTTCAACAGCCGCAGGCAACACCCCCAACTGCACCAAATGTTCTTTAATTGTACTCAAGATACAATCTTTAAGGGCCTTACTAGGGACTTTCACTTCAAAATGGTCAGCCACTTTAAATAACTGCTCCTTAGTGAAGGTGTTTAACAGATCCTCCATGGGATTCTGCAAAAAATCTTCAACAGCAGACATGGTCACCCCACAGCAACCAACCCACACAAACCAGACACAAAAGGGGAGAAAAGAAAAAAAAAATTCTGGCAAAACTTAGGTTAGACTAACCTGCACTGCACAACAACTGAACAAATTCCCCCTTAACCCAGTGCAACAGCCACAATATGAAACATCCTTTCCCCTAGCTGACTGCCTAACCAGAAAACTAGCTGACTTTCTCAAGCCTAGTCTTCATGCACTATCATTGGTGGGAAATTGAAACACAGTGTCCAATGACTTAGCTGGGCAACCATTGAAATAGCGACCCACCTGGACAGTCACAGAGGTGTAACCGAAGCAAAATTTGCTGTGGCCACACTAGTGCACAAAAATAACAAACTAAAAAAATAAACAACGAGCTCACGTGGCGGTCGTTCTTAAACCGACCGGGAAAGTAGTTCCACTGACTTAGGCTGTTTCATAGCACCCCAGCGGTAAAGGCAGGGCCGGGTCTAGAAAATGATGACTAGGGGTGCATCTCAGATCAGAGGGGGTGCACATGCCTGACACGTTATTCAACACTAAATTATGCATTTTCCCGTCATTTCAAGCGGAATGAAACTAGTCAAACAAGAATATTTAAAATGTCTTTCATATGCTTTATTGTAGCAAAATTGTTGTAGAAAAAGGAAATGCAGATGTTTCTTACCCTGAATATTTAACATAGAAATTCAAACTATTTTTAACTATACAGCTCAAAACCATCACTAAACATTACAGTCATTTCATGTGGAATGATAATAGTCAAACAAGAACATTTAAAGTGTCTTTCAAATGCAGTTTTGCAGCAGACGTTTCTTACTCTGAATATTTAACATAGAAATTCAAACTATTTTTAACTATACAGCTCAAAACCATCACTAAACATGACAGTCATTCCAAGTGGAATTCTACCAGTCAAAAAAGAATATTTTAAAGGGGACCTGCCACCAAAATTTCATACCCATTTTTATCATTTTTTCATAATCCTTGATGTCCTCTGATCATGTTTGCAACATAATTTTAGCTGAAAAGTTATTTGATGGTTTGTTTTAGTATGCCTAAAAAACCTTACAGGAAAACAGACTGGTTTTGGCTCATTAACATTTATGGTAATGAGCTTTGCTCTGATTGGATCGCTGCTGTGAAGCCTGCTGTGCTCTGATTGGCTCAGCAGTGGAGGTTCGGATTTCGGTTTATCCATTGTTATTATGCTAATGCTAATAGCATATGCTAATGTGTGCTAAAGTAAGGTGCCCAGATGTCTGTAATGATATCCGGGGATATTCGGTGCGGCGGCGTGCAGGGGCTGCAGGGGCTGTGTGATCACAGACAAAATCTCGGTACTATTTAGTAGCAGCGCATGCCCCTTGTAATAACCCTGTAAGAACTGTTGTTCAGGACTGCTTACTTGTGCTTCCTACCTATTCGGCTACTGTAATAACCGGTGTTCGAGCCCACACACAACATTTTTGCTCTCATTCATGAAACGCTTAAATCGGGGACATTTTCGGGGACAGCTTTTGCCGGGGACAGGTCATCCAATACGGGGACTGTCCCCGGAAATCGGGGACGTCTGGTCACCTTATGCTAAAGGCTAAAACCGGCAAGTATTAAACCATTTATTTTAGACCCCGAGTCCGAAGAGGAGGTGGAAGTTGAGGAAGAAGCCGGAGATCTCCAGCGGTGTTTTCTCATTCATTCTGTCCAGCTTTAAGTTCATTTTCCCGGCAGTGAACCCAAGGAAGGCAGATGAGTGACGTGCCCTGACGCGCGCGCACTTCTCCCTCTTTCCAACTGAGCATGCAGCCACATAAACTGAGGGTGCAATGCATGCTTATGCACCCCCGTAGAACCGGGCCTGGGTAAAGGGCAACAAAATGCAGCCAGGTTAGCAACACCAACTCATGATCCAACAACCTCATCACACATGGACCCAACAAACATTTCCCCAGAGATGTAAAAACCTCTCCCCAAAACTGCTTTCCTCAGGCTACAGCAACAAAATACTCCCATCAAACAGCTTTTGGTACTCACCACAATGGACCACTGATGAAACCAATCCAACAATACAAAACTGTAGCTGTAGCCTACCAAATAACAGTACCATCCAGGATTCTAAAGTCTCCCAGACGAGCCCCCATTTGTTACAACCCTGGCTCTCAGGTTGAAACAAATGAGAGAGGAGACACAGAGCTCTGAGGATCTAAAGTGTTTATTTAACTACAATAACCCCAAAATATACATAATCGTGTGTGTGTATAGAATCAGGTGTAGTGCATGTGGGGTAAATGTATTTGTATCTCCGAAAATAATCACCAAACTACAGCAGGCTGTGGGCCTCAGCAGCGGGCTGTAGGCCTTAGCAGCAGTCAGCTGCTCAACCACCTGAGAGAGAAAGCAGACTGACTGAGGCGTCCTTTTATTAATGAAGCCACACCCTAAGGTGTGGTCTGCTTAGGACGGCCCCTGCTTCCTGGGAGGCACTGAGAGGAAGCAGGCAGATCACAGAGCCGTCACAATCTCATTTGGCAGTGTGAGTTTGCATTCCCCAGGATCACAGACAGAATCGGTTTGCAGTGCCTTCAGTTGTCTACTCGCCTAGTCTTTAGCTTAGACCTGGAATTGCAGCCCATGGGTTTCTTATTTTCTGAGATTTTTCTTTCTTTTTTTTTCAAATGTCTGTGAGAAAAGATAAAAACACACACACAAAAAAAGAAAAGATACTATGTCACCATAAGAAGATTAAGATTTTTGAAAAAAAAGGTGACATGACAGGTTTAGTGGTTTCAAGCACAAAGCAGTTTTGTCAACCTAGCAACTTTGTCATTAGATTTAGTGACTTTTCAGACCCCCCTAGCAACCTGTTTTCCAAAAAGTGCCTAGCAACAAATCCAGCAACTTTTTTGAGTCACTTGATTTGGAGTTTAGAGATTCTGACATGAAAGCAGGTATTACTTTTCTGAATGGGTAGCATGTGTGTATCAAACACACACACACACACACACACACACACACACACACACATAGACACACTGAGGAAGACTCCTCCTCTGGGGGATGCTGGGGTTGACTAAAAAATATGCAAATTAGGTGATAATGTCATCTAGCAACTTCTAGCAACACCTTTGACAGCATCTCCTACAGCGCCATAATAAGATTTTTGATAATTGGCACCCATAGAGGACAAAAGAAGACAAGAGTGTTTTGTCCACAGGGTGTGGCCACAACACAATCAAAAGTTCCTCACTGTAAGACCCAGTGTTGCAGAATTACAACAATTTTGGCTATCCCAAAAAAACTCTAATTTTTTTCTTTTTTTTAGTTCAACCACATTAACATGATCATTGGGTCATACTGATTGTTCTCACAATGCGATATGATCCAACATTTGTATATAAGGCCTGTCCTCAGGTGAAGAAGTCACACAACCTCCATTTTTTTGATCGAGCAACATCCCTTCAATTTACTGGACTGGATTCATCTGATTCAAGTAAGTAAAATGCTTTGAATATTTTTTTGTGTTTATTACAATGTCTAGAACATGAACATATGTAAATATTGTTGAAAATATGCCCTACATTTTATTTAGAGCTTGTTTTATAATTGTTGCAATATTACAACGTTGGGTCAAAGTGGTAGCCAAAACAGCCCTGTTTTTGAGAGGAATGTCTTGAGAGGAACTTTGTAGTTTAAAGTTATATTTTCACAATATAACTTTAAACTACACATTATTTACATATTCTAGCCTTAGCCTTATATTGGATTACATATTTTATTGTATTAGAAACTATGTATTAAGATATATTGCTGTATCTAAACATTTTCATTTACTTATGATTTCTAACCACCTTCAACACTCAATATTTTCTCCTTATCACAGAATACAGGACTTTCTAACAAAGAAATTCTGTTTGTGCATGTCTGCCCTTTGTCTTAGTCTCTATTGATAAGAAAATCAATCCTATCAATCCTTAGTCAAAGCAGTTGTGGCGGATGCTCCTGGTGCATTTGAGGCATTGTTCTGGAACAGGTGTTTATGTTCATGGATGTAGGTGTGGTTGTAAACTGGAGACTACATGCAATCCTATTAGGATGATAAACACAGCGTATTAGTCTCTATTGATAAGAAAATGTTCCTAGCAATTCATAGTCAAAGCAGGGATGTTCCTGGTGCATTTGTGGCATGGTTCTGGAACAGGTGTTAATGTTCATGGATGTAAGGTGTCGTTGTAAGCTGGAGGCTACATGCATTCCCATTACGATAATAATCACAGTCTCCAATAGGTCAATAGGTCAGTACTGTGTGACCAGTGAAATGTGTGAACAAGCTACTTCAGTGCAATGTGTAAACACTACATAATGAAATTGACCATGAAAATTATCAAAATATACAGGAAACACAGCAAAATCACATAGAGAGTATAGACCAAAAGACAAATATTAAAATCTTTCCTGTTGACCATCTAGATTCTAGTAAGCATGTGTGTTATTTGTATATACATTTATTTCAATTTTATTTTTGCATTTATTTTTGTCTTGTTACATTTTTTCCATTATTCCAATTTTGGGGGTCGTTGTTGCAATTTGATTGACTTTCAGCCATTTATGGCCATGATGTGCTGTTTATATTTTATTGCTTTTATTACACAGTAGGTTGTGTCACTTTTATGTATGAAACATAAGCTTTTAGCTAAATTTACTGTATATATTTCATTGTGCTGGGTGCAAATAACTTGAGTTGAGACGTTTTCTTCAATAAATTTGATACATTTCATAATCTGAATTCACTTATGCGTATACTAAGGCACCAAATACTATTTCAGATGTTAGGTAGATGTATTTATGACATTTGAGAAAGATTTTGTCTTGCCAGAATCAACATAGCAGTTTCTAAAAGCAAAAACAGCAGCACCATATAATTGTTTTTTGGGTTACTCACATATATGTACATTTCTGGCTGGTGACAAAAGTCGGACAGATAGTCTGAGTAGATATTCTAACTCAAAGTCCAGAATGGTATTGTCTATGCAAAAATGCATTGAACAAGTAGCACCAGCGTAGTTGAACGAAATTCACTTTCTAGGCACTTTTTCCTTTGTCCCAATACAGCCTATGACTTCGAGCAAAGTTTCTTTCGTGGAGTTTCAGATGCCGTGGTCGTGGATGCATCAGTGATGCTGCCTGAAGGGTTTGACTGACCTGCTGCTGCATCGCGTTCTTGTTTCTCAAACGCCTTTTGCAAATAAATCGCTGGTAGCATGTCATGTGAAACCCAGCGTCATCAGGAACATTGTCGAAGTCGATATCAACGCAATGTTTATAAGTTTCTGCAAGGTCCTTTGTCTCACTCTGTAGAGAAAGCCACTTTCTAATACTAGTTCTGTAAGTTTCCCAACGTGTCCTTGTAAAGTCGAGAACGTCTTCACTCTGGACAGATGATAGATGCATATAGCATCGTTTCGTTCCTTTTTTATGCACTTTTGAAGGCTGTTTCCTTTTTTTTCCTTTTCTTTTCTTCCTCTTCGCTTGTCTCGCTGCTAGATGCGCTCGTCGCCATGTTTGTGTATTTCTGATACTATGGCAACGAGACTCGGCTCCTATCGGTCCACGTGACAAAAATCGCTTCACCCCTTTGCATATTCAATTGCGCGTGTGCAAGTATCACTACACCGCAGAAAGGAAATAGTTCGACACGGAAACACTGATTACTAAAAATCGATTGGATGGCATGAGTAGATTTTTTTTTTAGTACTTACTATCAATAGAGCTATTTTATGAATCACAGTTTATGTTGCCCCACTGAAGTGGAACGAAATTAACTTTCTAGGCACTTTGTCCTTTGTCCCAATACAGCCTACTTGAGCACAAACCAGTCTTACAGTAACTACATGTCAACATCACAACCAGGGGGGAGAAAAATTTAGATTCTGTGTAATTACTGTCTAAAGTTTGTCCACAGCTCCATAGGGATTGCTGGAGGAGGCGGGATTTATGACCTATACTGCAGCCTGTCACCAGAGGGTGTTGTTCTCGTGGTGGCTTCACCCAGTGAGGAGGAAGATGGCATCCATTCTATTTACAGTCTATGCTCATCAATAGCTACGTTTACATGGAGCCAAATATTCCGAATATAATCGGATTAGAAGCCCAATCGGAATGAAAATGCTCCATATAAACACCTCATTCGGAATAAACAGGCCCATTCCGAATGGAATTTCATTCCGATTCAAAGGGGTAGAATTTTCCTTTTCCCATTCCGATTAAAAGCAAAATCCTGTCATGTAAACGGTGAATCGGAAAGTTGTCAGGCTGGGTTCTGTCTGCAGTGTCAGCAGTGATGTATGACTCACATGGAAACATGATGGCGGCTTCCAAGCAGAGCACGATGCACTGGTCTGCGTCGGAGAGTTTGTTTTTGATACAAACTCTCAAAGAACTAGACATTGTCGCACGCTTAGACGGTAGGAAAACACGAAATGCTGAACTATTTAAAAAAGTTCACGAAAAACTCTGCGAGGCAGGGGTGGACCGTAACGTCGAACAGATTAGGAACCGCTGGAAAACACTGAAGGCTGGCTACTATAGGGCTAAACAGCACAACAGCAAAAGTGGGTATGACCCCAACAACTTCCCGTTTTTCGAACCGATGGACGAGATACTGGGGGGAAGACCATTGGCAAACATCGCTGGCAACGGAGTGGATGTGGGTTTTGACGAGGAGTCGTGTGATGGGGAGAGTTCTCTTAACGCTGCACCGGGTGATGGTGAACCGAGCATGTCTGGTAAGTTTATCTAACAACACCAGTGTTGGGAGTAATATATTTCAAAAGTAATGTGATTACTGTAACACATTGCTATTTACTGTAACGCAGTAATGTAAGGCATTACAAAAGAAAAATTGGTAATATTTTACACGGTACAAATGTCAGATATGAGCATTACAATCCGGATTACAATGCATTTTTAATTTAGCCAAAAATGAAGAGGTGGCTGTTATATTTTACTGTTTTAAGCCTTAAGCTAAGTCAGTCAGAAAGCTACCATTTCACCTTCACTGGATGTGTCAGGAGCTGTTTGAGAATAATGAGCCACATTTGAAATGACAAGTCCATATTTCCTGTTATTGTCACGAAAGTAATTTAAAAGTAATGCAATAGTCGTGTAATGCCTTACATTTCAAATACAGTAATATTGTAATGTAACTTATTATTTTAAAATGATAGTAACAAGCAATAAATAATGCTGTACGTTTTGGAAGTAACTTGCCCAACACTGAACAACACACACTTGCTAACCAACGTTAAGTAGTGTTACTAGTACTACTGCTTATCACTAGTCGGATATGTTATTATGTTCATTATAGGCTACAGTTGGGTGCTATGCTTAGGTATTTTACATGTGCTGTGAATGTAAATGCCTCGCTCGTCAGCTCCATTGTAAAACGTTTTTCCCTATAATGTTTATCAGATGATGACCACGACACCACAGAGGGGGGCGAGGAGAACACCGAGGCCAGTGAGGACAGCAGCTCCCAAATCCTTAATTTGACTGTACAAAGTACTGCAAAAAAGAGTAAGTTGCATTCAAAAAAATCAGTTACAGGGCATGGTTAAATAGAGCACATACTGGCTCCTTTGGCTATGTCTGTCATTTTAAAGTCTTGGGACTTTTTTGTGTTGCAATTCTTTATTAATAGTGAAAAAACTGAAATGCTTAAACACTCCTTTTACAGAGGCCAAAACAAAGTCCACTTCTGGCTACGAGAGAGCTTTGCTCACTTGGTCGTCTGATCAACAAGCTTTCTTGGAAAAAATGCAGGCTTCCCAGAACAGATGGTTAGAGGGACAGCAGGAACGAAGTCAACAACAAGAAGAACGGATGCTGTCAAGGTTTCTTGAAGAAAGTTCACGCTCAAATGAACGGCTGATAGGGCAGTTGTTTGAAGGTCTTTCACATATCCTCACACATTCCTCCCAGGCAGCTTCACATGCACCATGGCAAACTACATTCCAGCATCCTCATCCCTCATATTCTCAGCCACCATATCCACCACCTCAGCAGCCATATCCACCACCTCAGCAGCCATATCCACCACCTCAGCAGCCATATCCACCACCTCAGCAGCCATACTCACAACCCCGGCCTTCATTCCAACAGCCACAGCCTGATAACCCTGACTACACCGTACAAAACTTAGAATAATCAAAGGTGAAGAAATAAAAACTGCCCCAGTTGTTTGAGTTAACCACAAAAAAAGGTTGTTCAGGAATGCTGTAACCTGTTTACTGTTGAAGTTATGTTTACACAAAAGGCTTTAAAAGTTTTGTTAAAGGGATCTTTTTTTTAAGTGGGGTTGTATGAGCTTTATGTGACCACTTAGGATATTAGATACAGTAAAAAGTTGTCTCCTCTCCCTCAGTTAGCCGCATACTGTAACTGCAGGTGACGAAGAAATAGCCACTAACAGGGAAGTACTGTACCAAGTGCACAGACCCCCTGCCAGCATTCTTACACTTTGAAGATACAAACCTGAGCAACTGAGTATGTCAGCTTCAGTAAACATGTAAGAGCTGAACTGATGTGCTTAGTTTCATGTTTTCCTCTCATTTTTACAGAGCCCTAAGCAGTTTCTTTAAAGCTGAAAGTAGAGACTTTTATCCAGCAGGTTTTAATGACATTTTCTCTGTTGTTTGTCCAAATGCCTGCAGCAATGGAAAGGTGCTAAACGCTCTTGAGTAAAAACTTTAACCTCTGCTTTCCAATGGGTGTACCCCTGAAAAATTTAGAGCTTTCATCATAATCGATTTTAAATCCACTTTAAATTCATGCTTTTATTTCCAGATAAGATAAATGGATTTGGCTCCCTGGGCTTGGAAATTAAAGGTACCCTGTGGACAGTGACGTGCAGTGAGGTTTGAGGTTGGGGAGGCACTGACCCACTAGTCAGATTTACAAACAAACAATATGATGCTAAGTCACTGACTCACAAGTCAGATTTACAAACATGACAGTATGATGCTATGGCACCTGCTCAAAATCACAAAAACACACAGTATGATGCTAGAATAAAACATTTCAACACACTTAGCACACAATTAACACAGCACTGCAGAGCAGACACTAGACAGTATATCTTAACTAAATGAAGTCCATTCGCCTGTCCTTCTGGACGAAGATCTCTATGACTTTGTTGTAGAACTCCTCCTTTTTCTTGTATTGTACCAATGTAGATACCAATCCTTTTGAAATGACCGCGTTATTTTCTGTCCTCGCACCCCACACGTTTGCATCAAATCTGGCAGCGCTGGCATTGGTCTATTAATGACTTCTTTCTTTGATTGAAAGTCCAGTCTTGAAAAATTCCTTATTTGAGTAATCAAATCCGCCATTTTCAGGGCGTAAAAGCATCACAGTCTGTAGCAGTTGTTTTCAATATAGTTCACAATATATCGCCCCCTTCATTGAGGCAGGGGTACTTGCTGCCTCATGGCTTGCCTTTTCCCCGTAGCAACAAGCACGCGCTGCCTCGCACACACGCCCAATACACTTTGTGTGTAGCCATGGAGGCACTACCTGACGCTGCCTCTCTTCTCACCTGCCTTGTTATTTTGATCAGGAAACATGGAATTTCCACGATTTTGACCATGAAAATTATCAAAATATACAGTTAACACAGCAAAATCACATAGAAAGTATAGACCAAAAGACAAATATTAAAACAAATTTTATTTTATTACTTCGTTTTTGAACATCTCATAGTTAAGCCATTTATCCCCCCTGGTGGCAAGGTAAGGCACTGCCTCAGTTGCCTCCCCTGACAGCACGTCACTGCCTGTGGAGTTCAGTTTTTAACACTGGTAGTCCTCTGGAGTAAGTTTAACACGAGAAAGACTGTCAGCACAAAAGCAATGAAAGTGCGTGCCTGGTGCAGCCGCAGAGTTGGAATTTCTTTAGGAGCCTCTCCTTGTGGGTCAGACTCTGGATCAAACTAGTGCGGCTGGACCACAGCACTTCTACAAGCCATAACTCGAACTCTGTTCAAACATTGGTGCATGGTCGTGTAGTGCAAGCCATGGCCTTCTCTTCCAGGGAGACAGGGAGGGGCGCGGCTTGCACTGAAAGAGGTGTGGACAGGCGCAGCACACAGAAACAGCGGGCTCTATTTCCATGCCTCCTTAGAGACATGCCGCAACCGCGGCATAAGTCAGGTCCGCCGCGCCGACAAGGCATTCCCAAGCACAATTTGGTATTTTGGTGAACGGCGCAGCCTGGCGTAAGTATCCCCCCTCCCTAACTCAGCTCCTCCCAGCAGCGTAAGTCGTAGTGAGGGAGGAGAGAGGGCGTGGAGTGGGTTTAACACAGTCAATAACATCAGCTCCTCTCCTCGCCTTTAAATCTGCCACCGGCGAGGCGTATTACAATTTTCGTGAAGTAGTCAAAGAGATCAAGAGATGTCTGAAGACAGTAATGATACGAAAATAGAGCCCAGCATGTTCTCAGTAGAGCTCACTTGAGTTTTCAGGCTGGCTGAAGTCCAGAAAAAAAAAGGTTTTTTGACAACTTCATATTTCTACAGTGTAAATATCTTATATGGATTCTTTATTTAAATGTAAAACCAAAATATAAGTCAACAAGTAACCTAAATCTGAGAAACTCTAACTTTTCATGTCTTAATAAAAGAGGAACTCTTTTTTTTTTTTTTTATGAAACCCAGCGCCCGTTTACTGATGAAACAGTTCCTTAAAAAATGTTCTAAACAGTAGCAGTGAACTTTTCAGTCATGTTTTCTTAACAGGATTACCACCCAAAATCTGTAAAGCACCTCTAGTAAGACGAGGAGAAAACACTGTGACATCTTTGACTGTTGATGTAAAGTGAGCTGTTTTACCCTGAAAAGTTAGTTTACAGCGACAGGTGAAGTGCAGCTCTTGAAGATGTCCCAGACACCTGTCGTGGTCACACACACAGCAGGAAAACTCTTTAACTCTAAAATGATATCTTCTTGACTTAAGTCAACCTTGACCTCACCTTTCACTGTTGATCCACTTCACAAAGCTCAGCGTGGTGAACAACATAAAGATTTTCAGCTTCTTTGGTGTCAGACAGCAAAGCCAGCTGGCCGGAGCTTGTCAACAGGCAAGGCACGCTATTGCTTGAGGTCCCAGGACTGGGGGCCCCCAAAGGCTGACAACCTTTACTCCGCGATAATGTCCTAAAATATTGCAACACCATCAAAACCAGTGGTCAAATTGTAATGACATCTTGGAAGGGGCCCCATGTCATCCTTGTTGCACTGCTTTGTGACCTACGTCAAACTTAAAGAAGTGGAGCTTCTTATCAGGGAATGAGAAAAGAAAGAGGAGTGAAGAGAAAGAAATAAGGAGAAAGCAAGACAGTGGTAAGTGAAGCAGATAACAGTGTGGCAAACACTTAAAATAGCATTAGGTGTAGGGCTAGCTGTGATTGTTTAATAGTTAGTTAGCCTTGTTAGTGGAGCGGGAGATGTTATCCTGGGGTTCCTGCTCCGTTGACTCACCATTTCTGTCTTGCAAAGTTAGTCAACAACTGGCCGACAGAGAGAAAGTGTGTTGTAAAGTACAATACTGAAATTTCACCCAAATAACTAGAGCACTGGGGCCTCATGTATCAACGCTGGAGGCACCAGAAAACCTTGCGTCCGCCAAGATTGGCGCACACGTCCAGATTTATCATCGCGACACGAGCGTCGGTTCCAGCGCTAATCAACACAAAGTGAGGAGGTGGTGTAGAAGTTGGCGTTGAGCTGATACTTGCGTTGACGGCACTTTGGCGACGCTGTGTGGCGGTGTTTGGTGACTCACTATGTGACAAGCGTGCACCACATCCCCGTGGCCGAGCAGCACGTCGCCCCACATGACGAACCAGCAGCAGGCGGAGGGATGCGAGCTGATCCCTGCCGGGCCGCGGTCCTCACGCGGGAGAATCTCATCGCCACAGTGTGAATGGGTAAGAGGTGAATACACAGTTCAATGAGCCAAATTAATTTATTTTCGCCACCAGACGCTCGAGGACATTTACGAGCCGGTCCAGCCGCTCGTTGATCCCCGCGATCCCCCTGATGATTTCTTCCTGCGTTTGCAGGACCGCCTCCGTGAGGACCCTTCCATTGCGTCCGGGTGGTCCAGCGGAAGCTCCACCGCTTGTCGGCACGCTGGTGCTGGTGCTGGGGCCGGGGGGCGGGGTGGCCCGAATGCCGCTGGTCCTGGCCGACGACTCCGAGCCGGCAGACGGGCTGCCGCGGGCCGGGGTTCCGCAAGCCGGCGACACGGCCGACACATTGATTTCTGTGACACAATAAAAATATTGGTTCATTTCAATTCCTGCTTCTGTGTATCTGTTGCGTTTACATCTCTCTCCACGGTATCATAGGTAATGTAATCCAGTATTTAGAGGTCAGTTATGCACATTACAGTTGTTTATTGCATAAAAAGTTATCGAAAAATGAAGTTAGGCGAAGTATAAATCACGTCTAAAAATAGACTGAATCCCGACGTTGAAATGAAGTATAAACTTAGACTAGACGTCTAATAAACGTCTTTTGCTCAGTGGGATGGCAAAGCATGTGGACATTTGTGTGACACGTTACTTACCCTATAATAATAATCGCCACCACCTGCTGCTCAAACGGCGTGAGGGTCTCCTCCCCCGGAACCCCACCTGTCTGGCCGGTACTCCTCCGGAGGGCAGCTGTACGCCGCTTGACCTCCACCTTGAGGTCCGACCACTTTTTTTTAATCCCCGCGGGGGTGCGTGTCTCGGAACCCACCGCGTTCACCCTCTCGCAAACTTTCTCCCACTCCAAGCGTTTTCGTTTTGCACTGATGCCACTGGACAGGCTGCCAAACAAAACACGCTGTCGCTCCTCCACCTCGCACGCCGTAAATTTAGTTTTTCTTGTCATTTTGTCTGCGTGCGAGGACAGGGAGACCCTATTTAAATAAATCTGCATATTTATAGGAGGGCGTAATGGGGGCGGGCCCAGTCACTCCGACATCTGCGCTCAATTCCAAGCTGATTGGGATTTATCAAGGAAACACACGTGGATTTCGACGCCCGCACACCTTGATACATACGGATTTTTTTCAGCGTGACGGACCTTGCGTGCGCTCGTTTCTGGTATGAGTCCCAC